ACGCACGCACGCACGCACGCACGCACGCACGCACGCACGCACGCACGATGCTCCTTTCCCCCAAGATGTCCATATTCTTGAAAGTCTTTCCTTGGTAGTAGCATGCTTTCAAGAAGGGGTCACGTGGAACTGAATGGAGAATGCCTGCATTGAGAGACCCTGAGTCCTGTGCAGCCTGAAGAACTCTTGGGGTTCACCTATTCTGAACCCCCAGTTGCTGTCCAGCTGGACCTCAGCTTTAGTGCTGATCCTAGTCTCATGTCACACATGAGTCAGTGACATGCAGATTTGGAGCTGCAGGTCCCTCCTCCCCGTGTTCCCATGTGCATGTACATGGTTTGATGTTAGAACTGGAGTTCAAGTCTGAGGTTGTTTTTCTTTGTTTTACAGCTTTAACGTTGACCTAGTGGCAGGAAAAACAAGGGATATTGCTCTGCACTTGAACCCACGCCTGAATGTGAAAGCATTTGTAAGAAATTCCTTTCTTCAGGATGCCTGGGGAGAAGAGGAGAGAAATATTACTTGTTTCCCGTTTAGTTCTGGGATGTACTTTGAGGTAAGATTATGGCCTGTTTTGTTTTTAAATGGGACAGGAAAATCCTGAGAACACAGTGGAATAACTTTTATTTAAATAAAACCCAATCCTCTATGTAGGGAATATATGCTGCTGTTCACTGGCTGTGGGAGGTTGTAATCTGAACATGGTGCAAACAGCAGGACCATTGTACTTGACAGACCAGACAGAATACTTGACATTTGTCATAGTGACAATGGCTGTGTAGCCCAAGGAATTCTGGCAGGAACCTTGTCACAGTATGGGAACCTGAGATAATACTTTTATTGGTGTATGTTTATGTGTGTGTGTGCACAGTTGTGCACACTCATGTGCATATGTCAAGGCCAGAGGTTGATGTTAGGTGTCTTCCTGTAACTCTCCCCATTTTTTTGAGACACATCTCTTACGGAGCCTAGAGCTCACCAATTGGTTAGGCTGGCCAGCAAGCCCTGGGACCCACCTGTCTCTGTATCCCAGGACTGGGAATAAAGGTCCGTGCCACTGCACCCAGAGTTTTAGCTAACTCAGGTCCTGTGCAAGCACTTTATCTGCTCAATCATCTCCCCAGCCCCACATATGTACTTCTAAGTGGATATGTGGGAACCCTAGAATGGCATGCTTATTCCAGCCACACCCTCCACAGTTCCCGATGGCAGTATTTCTAAGAGCTCGGCCTGTTGGCAGGTAGTCAAGGATTAGTATACCAGACTTTTGGAACCAGAAGGCATGAGGTTTCTAGTCCCCAGGCTGTATTGTGTTAATACATGGCTCTCCCCAAAGCCTTTCTGAGGTGCTTTCTAATTGGAGAGTAACATCTCCTTGGGGTATGGGTGCTAGGTGGCTGGTTGGACTTTCTCTCCGGCTTAGACCTCTCATGGTCTCTTAAGATCTTTCATTTAGGTTATGCTTTACTTTTTCTTTTCTTCCTTTCTCTTTCTCTCTTTCTCTCTTTTTCTTTCTTTCTTTCTTTCTTTCTTTCTTTCTTTCTTTCTTTCTTTCTTTTTGGAGATAGAGTTTCTCTGTGTAGCCCTGGCTGTCTTGGAACTGGCACTGTAGACCAGGCTGGCCTCTAACTCAGAGATCCACCTGCCTCTGCCTCCTGCGTGCTGTGATTAAAGTCACACACCACTACTGGCCAGTAACATTTTAAACTCATGTGCTCTACACCAGTGATTCCCAACCTTCCTAACTCTGTGACATTCAATTGTGCGGGGCGCGCGTGTAATGGTCTCGCCGGCAAAAAACATACACACACGCACACACACATACACACTAGAATCCTTCCGTAGGAACACGTTTATTTCCCTAAACCAAAATGGTGGTAGAAGACGAAGAAGGCGTGGGAAAGCACTGCCTATATACCCCAGAGCGGGGTATTCACCCCCTGATTGGCTGCTTACTCGTAGCGCGCCAAACGCCGTGGGACGGGCTTAGCTTTGGCGGGCTAACCATGGCACATGCGCAGTTTACTTGGTACTAGGAAGAATTACGGGCGACAGCGCCACCTAGCGATGGCGGACTTTGTCAGCTCTCGTGGCGGCTCCCAACAACTGCCCCTTTTTGTTTAAATATAGAGGGTGGCAGGGGTCTCTGGGAAGGTTTCGTAACTCCCACCTTTGGGGGGTCTCACGGCGGGTCTGAGTCTCTTTAGAGGGCGGTGCTCAAACTCTTACCCGTCACGGGGTCAGCCTCCCCACCCGAGGCTGCCCTGTCTTAGGTGGCCGAGCCTTATCCGTCCACTCCGTTATTGACTTACCAGACCTTCTATCCGTGGAACGAACACCTTAGTGGGCAGGGACTGTGTACAGAAATGTTTGAGGCTTTACAGGGTGTCTTTACCAGAAGTCCTAGGGTGCAGCGGCTGAGGAATCTGTCTACTGGCTATTTCCTTTTAGATTTGTCAAACAGACACTGGCCAATGTCCCGTGTCTAGGTTGACTGACATTTCTTCACAGCCAGCACCAAAGAATGGTGAGCGCTCTGGCTAGGCTACGAGGGTCGCGCACCCACACCTGGCATTCTCTGAATGTGCGTTCCAGGTTGTGGCCACTCGTAATGCCTGTCACCGGGTAATATCACCATTCGTGGTATACCTCTGGCATATGAGATCAGCTTATTCCCGTCGTTGGGATCAATTGACAGCCGGTCTGGAGACAAAAGGATGGAGTTATCTAACTGACTGCCCTTAGCCTGTCTAGCATGGTACCAGTTATGACTCAAACCCACGGCCTGATCAAGCAAATTCCATCTTGGGGGAATAAGCGATCAAAGAACCAACAGTTTAAAACCGTCTCCCTTACCCTACCAGGTGCAATGGAAACACAAGTCCTCTGGGTGCAAGGGCTAAGGGGAACAGAAAGAGATGTAAACACCCATCCCTGTGCAATGGAGTCATCTCCTAGGGGTGCAAGGGCTGTTTGTCTCAAAACTCAGGTACCACAGCTATACAGACAAGAATCAGCCAGGTCGAGACTCCTCACTGACCCAGTGTATTGGGCAAATCTCTGGAGTGCAACGCTGATGGCCTAACATTTAGCACCACCACTCGTGAGGGGGAGACTGCTTATAATTGAGGCAGTGATAACCACACTGTAGGGGAAGCCCCTAGTACTTTGGTCACAAACGCCTGGCCAATAATAGCCTTGTCAAAATTCTATTGAGCTATGAGTTCGCAAACCAATCAAAGGATGAATACTAAACCACAACTTAGGGTAAACTAAACAGGCTTACTCCCACTTACTTAAAAAAAAAAGGAAGGGGGGAAAAGGAAAAGAAAGGAAGAAAGCTGAAGAATTCTGGGAGGACAGTCCCTCAGTCAGGAACAGATCCACGTGCGTCGAGTTGATGTTCACCACAGCTGCTCTCAATTTTCTGAGTGTCTCACTGAAGTTTTCTGAGCAGTTTCCTGTAAGATACTGAAATAATTTTCTGGACAGATTAGTTACACGAGTAAAGTTTTTATACTGTACACTGGTGATGTAAAGTGTACCCAGTTTTCTCTCACATCTCAATTGGGCTAGTTGAAAGAGGATATCTAATCTCTCTCTCACTAAATCAAGGCGTTGATTAAGGATGATTAGCCCGCCTTTTAGTAGGGTACTGGCGGAGGTTTGAAGGTTAACAGTCTCTGCCACCGTGGCTGACAATTGGGGGTAGTGCCCACCTGAACAGAAGTTGACATAGCAATCTCAGTGGCAGTGGCGATAACGGCACTAATTAATATCGTCGTCACTATGGCTGCAGTTATATCAAATCACTTTTTTGTCTAAATAATGACAAAGTGGAATGAGTCTCCACGGGGATGGGAACCCATCGCGTGACTCTGGCAACCATAGTGTAAGTGAATCTTTAGAATTCTAACACTGGGACATCTAGCAGGTTTTATTGGTACAATTCTTAAAGGTGGAATTTTGATAAAATAAACAAAAATACTAGGAACCTGTATCCCTTGGATCAGCACAAGGGCTATCATCAGAGCCTGGAGGGTCTGTCTGGGTGTCACTTTCCAGTATCTCGAGTTGTCGCGTCAGCCGTTCTGGTAACCAAAACGGATTGTCTTCTTCCTGTGGAAACACACAGACCGCTCCCCTGGCTTTTATTAAAATAGAATCTGTACTTTTTCATTGTCTGGTCAAGATGTCTTTTTATTTGACCATTTCTTTTGGCCTGTCAAGCTGAAAATGAGGTTTTAGCCAATTAATATCTGTTAACAACTTTTGAAAATCACTTTTCTGGAGCAACAAGTACTCTAAAATCTTAAAGCTCGTTATACTAGAGCAAAGGCTTGTAGAAAAACTCTTTTAGAGAGATCAGCCAATAAAATATACAATGAATAATATATACTGAGAGATTTAAACGCTTTAACCTTTAGTATTAAAGCAACGACAAATTTTTTAAGGCCACTAATTATTCTTTGAGGCAAGCTTTTTTTAATGAATGGCTTCATGGGCTCTCAAAATTCACAAGTAATTTCACTTAATGTAAACCTCTCACCTTTACCAGGAGGTAAAGGAACTATATAAAACAATCTTTTAAATCTATAATAATTTTATATGCATTTATTTGAATGGCAGCTGGAGTAGGCAAGTCAGGCTGTAGTGTCCCATTAGTTTTATAAATCTTAAATTTGAACTTTCTCTGTGTAGCCCTGGCTGTCCTGGAACTCACTCTGTAGACCAGGCTGGCCTCGAACTCAGAAATCCGCCTGCCTCTGTCTCCCAGGTGCTGGGATTAAAGGCATGCGCCACCACTGCCCGGCTCTAGTGTTTTTTGGATTAACTGAATAACTAACTCTTTTTAGCTGAGTGAAGTATCAGATAAAGCCAAGCTGAAGGCAATCTTGTCCTCTAATAATTGTTAAATAGCCCCAGTTTCTTTTAATTATTAAGTTAAGATCAGGTCTTTTGTTACTAATAAGACCTAATACACCAGAGGAACCAAGGTCATTTTGTCTTTCATTACCCTCAACAATTTTGGCCTGGCCCAAAAGCTGTTTTGAATTTCTTTGAGTCTGAGGCTGACCCCTCCCTAAGAGACAAGTAAGGCAATAAACCAATTCTAGAGAACACCCTTTTTGAGGCGGGACAGGACAAAAGGAAAGTCTGAAATCCAAGCTCCTGTCTCAACTACTCTGTTACAGCCTTAATTTAAATGTAAATGTTTTAATCTTGGCCTACATCCTGAGGCCTGGCCCAAGGATAATCCTACTTGCACCAAGGACAGGTTTGTCAGGTAACCTTGGACACCTGACTGTTGTTTAAGCCTCTGTTCCTGGGACAGTCACTTTAAAAACTATCCAAATTTCCACATTTAAAACACTCCCCATCTCTATGGCTCTGTGTAGCTATGGTCAGACCCTGATTGTATGAGGGTGTAATTTCATTGCAAAGACAAGTATCTAAGTCTGTCTTTGCTTGTATGTTCTGAGGACTGTGTGGGCAGTTTAACCTGATTAACATCACACTGACCTTGTCTTACAAGCAGGTTAAGATCTCAGCCTG